TGATGTGTTGTATAAATAATTTTTCTCCAGCCCAAACTTTTAAAATATATATATATATATATATATATATATATATATATATATATATATATATATATATATATATATATATATATATATATATATATATATATATATTAATGTTTGGGTAATTGTATACAATTCATGTTATATTCTGTAAGGGACATTGGCATTAACACAGTTTATCTTAAATTAATTGAAGGACAACATTTATTGATGATAGACATATTCTTGTTTATTCGTTGCTGATATTTATATCACTAGGTGTGACATCGATGATACTCTGGTGATATGCATTTCATAAATTCCGTATTAGTACAAGTGTGTGATATGGTATCGGAATATAAACAAATTGGAAATGATTTGAAACATGCACAAAATGTGGAGCACGGCAAAACAAAAGAAACATGTACCTGGTAAAACTATTGGCATGTAACAATTTTGTGCATTTTTGCCTGCCAAGAAGTTCCCATTTCCTCTCTCCAGCGTGTATCACCAGTTCGTATACATGCAATGATTCATACAATTTTCATGGGATTTCACCAACAGAAATAATGACAACTTTAAATTGGGCATAACCAAAAGTACATTAAATAATAATTATTTTATTAAACCTTAGTCAGCGAAATCGTTTACATACAAAGCATTATGTTTTTAAGACGAACAGACATGAAGTACACATTTGGTGGCAGCGTTAGTACACAGAACTGTGATAAATTTGAAATATTTGCTTGATGTGTTACAATACTTTGTAAATAAATGCATCTAGTTGAAATATATAAATCTGTGGCAGCACATTTCTGTTCAATATTAATAAATCTTGGTAAATCCTGACTAACTGGGGGATTCGTAACAGTAGCATTTATTTCCTTGTGTTTTTGGCTTACCACGCGATTTTCCAACCAATTTTCTGGCGCCGCTATTAAAACTTTCCAATCTAGGTTTATCACCTTTCTAAAATCTCCGACTTTTCACTACTCCAAATATCATTATAATCTTCCAGACAACATTCTCTACTTTCCAACCAACTCTTTTGACCTTCTGGAAACTTTGCGACCAGCTTTCTCAACTTTCTAGACCAGATTTCTTTTTTTTTGGATTGTTTTGACTTCCAAGCCAATTTTTATGACTTTTGAAACAATATTTAAGACGTTTTAGGCAACATTTCCCGATTCCCACTAAACTTTTCACTCAAATTTGTTCTTTCCTTCCAACAACTGACTGTCCTGACTTTCAAAGCCACTTTTCGGACTTATCAATTCAATTTCGACTTTTCAGTTAACATTTGCGACTTTCAAGACAACTTGTCCAACTTCACACCCAATTGTTTCATTTGTTATTCAAATGTCCTTGCCTTACCCATCTTTGCCTCCAATGTTGTCACGGAAGTTAGTTAACAATTTTAAAGTCAACCGTGAATTGTAAAAGTTGTGAGGAAATTACATGAATAGTTGTGCAAGTTCATTGCAAAGTCGAAATCACTGGTAAGAAAGTCATAACATTTGCTCGGAAAGTGAAAACCTTGGTTGTAGGGAAGTTGCTTGTAACATTATAATGTCTGAAAAGTCGTTAAAGTCACATGGAAAGTTGGTAAAGTAGATGCAAAGTTATAAAATATGATTGTAAATAAAGTTGGTTGTGAAGCAGCAAAAGTATACTGCAATGATCGTTACAATTGGTTAAAAAATTGTTAAATATGTTTAAATTCAGTGGGAAGTTGTGAAAATTGACAGCAAAGTCATTAAAGTAAGTCAAAAAGCTGTAAAAGTTACCTGGAATGTTGCGTGGGTTGTTTCACAAATTTACTGCAAAATTGCAAACGCTGTTGGAAAGACAATCGAAAATGTTTGTAAGAAAGTCACGAACGTTGCTTGGAAAGTTCTCGAACTTAAGGGAAGTTGTTAAAGTTGACTATATCATCAAAGTCAGTTGGAAAGTTATAAATGTTGTCTGGAAATTTAAAAAGTTGGGACAATCCCACGGAAAGTTGGCTAGAAATTACTAAACGTTCCCAGGGAAATTATTAAGTTACGAGGAAAGTTGCTGAAGTTTACTTGCAAAGTCGTACACACTGGTTAGAATTTTGTAAATTTTGCCTGTAACGTTGTTACATTTGGTCTCCCAGAAAGGCACGTAAAAAGCTTACAAGTTCATTGACAAATTGTAAAAGTTTACTTCAAATTCGTAAACTTTAGTCGGAAAGTTGTGAAATTTGTCTAAAACAGTTTCTCTAGAGTCATCTGATTTATATGGATAGTTGTAAACGTCAACTGTTGAACGATTACTGTGGGATTGTAATATTTGATTAAATTTGGTTTGACAATCGTAACAGTTGCATACTAAAACTTGTCTGAAAAGTCGAAAGCTCTGAGAAAAGTGTCAAAGTCGACTGCAAGTTGTACGAATTAAGTGCAAAGTCGTAAAGTTGATTGAAAGGCGTTCAAACTGATTGGAAAGTTGTCAAAGTTGTCTGTATAGTCGACAAAGTTACGTAGAAAAAATGACAGCAATGTTGTTGATTTCAACATTAAACAGTGGGCGGGAGGCCGCAAGTTTGATTGAAAAGTCATTAAAGTATTACGTGAAAAAGTGCTCATCGTTTTATTCACATGTAATATTTAGAATTTATTTTATTTTGTGTTATTTTAAAACAGTATTATATGTGATTTAAAACGAAAACAACGTTGTTCAATTTTCCAGGTATCAGTGACAACTTTCCAATAACGTTGCACAACTTTGCACACTGTTCTTTATAGATTACGGCCAAGTTATATGGCCGGCCGATATAATGAGGCCTGCTAAAACAATGAGCGTTTCCAAGTCCTTTCGTCACCTTTTCAAACCATATGAGTGATCATATGACGGTCGCATTTCCAAGCAGTTTCATTAATTATCCTATAGCTTTTCAAAACTTTTCACAGCTTTGTAACCGGTTACCGTCAGCTTGTAGGACATTCCTCTAATAAAATGAGCGTTTCATGTCTTTTGGTCACTTTTTCGAACTTTCTACTACGCGATTCGATATAACAACGACGTCGGTCCAGGCAACTTTGCCAACATTGTTGTCCCTTTTCACAACTTTTCATGCAGTTTTGTAACATGTTCCGATCAGCTCCTATGACAGTAGGCTAGTAAAATGAGCGTTTTCCGGTCTGTTCTACCCGCTTTTCGAGCATTCAACTGCGTGAATTGATATGACAACGTCGATCGAATTTCCAAGCAATCGACTCTGCCAACTTCGTCTTCACTTTTCTTACGTTTGTGCGCTGTAATTACAGAAGCAACATTCAAATTTATACAACTACGTTCTGCACCAGAACACCATTTACTTTGCCACGTGCTTTAAATTTCATTTTCATCGTATCAATATAACAATCATGAGAATTACATTCCATTTTGTCATTACACATAAACTATCATAAACTATTTTAATGTAACTTGTGGGAACCGTGCTCGGGCACCGTACGTGCCGCGATTTTGACATGAACGCAAATTATAAAGACATGTACGAGTGCTCGATACATTACGGGTTATGTGATATACATTAATTGCGTAATTCGACTATAGTGGTTTCAATACATTCGTTTTCTATAATAAATCTCTGACACATAAATTAATCCCAACAAACGATAAACATGTAATTTTTAATTCACCACACAATCCACGCAAATGTATTTTAATCTACCACACAAAGTTTTTTTAAAACTTAAATAAAGTGTGTCAATGGTTTTGATGTGCCTGCGTGCATTAGGTACGAAGGGATACAAGTCATCGCACTGCTTGCAATCGAACATGACGGAGTTCAATCTATTATAAAACACACATCAGAAAGATTGGATTATACTGAAAGCTCACATTGACAGCTCTGCAAAGAAGACGACGAAAGTTTTGACATATTTGAGAGGTAGCATCGATAAACGGCTAAAGAACATGCTTCATAGAACAACCTGTATACATGCTGCAGTAAGAAAATCCGTGCCAACAATTATAGACCCTTACTACGATGTCACGTTTATCACCCGAGAAATGCCAAACGTGAATACAGCCGACTGCAAGAACAAATCCCTGCAATTTTCGAAGCTGGTTAACAATGAATTGGGACGTTTGGTACAACAGTTATCACAATACTCCGTTAGTGCTTTACTAATGTATATTGTGACACTAGGTTACTCCATATTCAAACACGCCAACATTCAAAGCAATGATATTCATGGAAATCTCGCTCGATTCCTGAATTGTTTTCTTCTTATATATATAGAATAGAATAATGCTATATTAATACCGTAAAGAAAGAGTTAACATTTCTTTTTAGGTTTTCAGATTAATAAAGTAAATATTAAAAGTACATGAAATGTAAAAATTGATTTAAAAAGAACTCAAAATTGACGAACGACAAAAATACTACAGACAATTATTAATAATATAAGAAATATTAAAATACTGTGATATGTAAGTATATCTGTATGTAGCACAGAATATGTATAAAATATAAAAGAACATGACAAAATAAAAGAATTAGTCTTGTTTAGATTTAACTAAATATTTGCAAAGAGTGATAAGATGGTTTGTATTTGGTGACTGTAGTACAAGTTTAAATTGTTCTTTTTTGTTTAAGTTTTTGTAATCACTGTTAATTTCTTTAAGGATATTATAAATGTCATCTCTGTGTTCTGTGTACAGTTTACATTCTAGTAAATGATGTAATTCATCTTCTATCTCTTTACAGTGGGTGCATAATCTGTCTTTTATCAGTGTTTTTGGTTTTGTGTACCTTCCTGTTCTATAGCTAGTTTGTGACTACTTGTTCTAAATTGTGCTAGTATTTTGATGTAATGTCTGTTATCTATGTGTTTTATGTTCCATGTCTAGTGTGGTTTTGTATGTACTGTAAGTGCGCAGTTTTGCATCATCTCTTTTGTCATTGTTCCATGCGTTAGTGTAATATTCTCTGATTTAAATTATCAGTTATTGTATTGTTATATTATCTATATTACATTTAGTGTATATTTCTAAGTTGTCTTCTAATGACTTCAACCATGACCCCGGGTAATTATTTATCTCAATATATCAAATTGTTGGTCGGTGACATATGATGAAAAATTATATATTGTGTTTTACAATTAACATATTCATATCTAGAATTATTTAAAACTGGCGTTATTTATAGAGAGTTTTAATAACGGATGTGGACTATAGAAACCGCTGCTGAATTGAAAACTCACAGTGTAAATCGCAATTTTCGACTTAGCTTTAAACAAAGCAGCTCCCTGAACAAAGGAACGCAAAAAAGTGCGAGCGGCATGCACGGGACTTATGGCGATCCATTTTAGGCGTCGTTAGTCTTAGGTTTTTGAATACGGTTTGAATCGTTATACAGTCTACTGTAAATGTTGATTGTCTCAAGTAACAGTGAACTTTATTTGTTCCAACCATGGAGGTAATTTACCTTCATGTTCCAACACGCACGGCGAAGATCATGTGAGTGGTCATATGACCAAATGTGGACAATGGCGTAAGCACCAAGTCATGATCACAAGATGTTAATCACGTGACAAGCTGCCATTTTACGATTCAACACGCGTACGTACCCTTGCAAACATTAGGCCAGTAAGTTTGGTTCCACACATAGGGTTACAACTCGCTCTTCAGTGGTTTGTCTTTTAGGACGGCGTTACCACGTTCACGCCATTGACGCTTGAAAACGAACGACTAACCAGCGTTCCTCAACACCGCTTACTAACAGCTACTTCATAAATCAACCTAGTCTGCTAAATCTTATTTTCAGGCCTAGCCGGCATTATGATGGACGAAAAACAGTCAATTGCAACGCCGAACGTTAATTATTCCGACCCTCCTCCACAATATCAAGGTGAAAGTCATCCTGGCACTAATGCTCCACTTTATCAAGCTCAGCAACCGTATCCAGGACAACCACGTTTTGGCCCCTCACTTCCTGTGTGTGTCATACAAGGTATGATATGTATTGTTGTTGTTGTTTATGTTATGGGTAAACTCTGGGGAGGGCGATGGCAATATTGGAAAAAAATGTGTGGGGGAATCTTGCAGGAATCAATAACAGAATAGAAATTTTCACACCTAAATCTTAGAAGAAAAATATGTTCATAAAATGGTAAAAAATACAGCAAATTCAACATGCAAAAACATATTAGCACAAAATTAAGTAAAGGAAAAATATTTCGCGAAGCTTTGCTATAATCGCACCCCTAAGTTTTTCTATTTATCCACCGCTTAGTTATGGTTTCTGAATTTGAAACGCGACGGTGTCCTCCCCTATATTGACTTAAGCTATTGCACCTCCCTGGTTGTACCTGCTGTATAACACACACATTGCAAAGTTTGTGTTAGAAATATATAGATTACCAGTGCATTCACTACGTTACATTTTTGTTCTATCCAGGTTCACAACAGTATTTGGACTTTCCTGCATGCGTACGTTGTGTCAGGTGCAATACTGACATTGTAACAGATATCCAATATAAACCTGGTGTTTTGACATGGATGAGTTGTGGAATTATTTGTTTAGTTGGGTAGGTATTATAAACCAAATAATTACTGTATTATTACCGTAACAGTAAATACATACTATTTTATCTCGTGTTCATTGCTCTACCAACACAGTCTCTCCACGACTACATAGATGAATTACGCTTTAAGTATGCAAAAGTACGCCCGAAGAATTATTCACACAACTTGCTTTTTATGTACAAAGCAATTATAATAAATATACTCTTTGGCTACATACTTTTACAATAAATGTAATCTACAATCGTAATAGAGAAAGTTCATCTGCCAGCAACGTGTATATCAAAGATGGATAAAATTATGATTTATTCTATTAAAAATATCTTCTTATCAGTACGCTCTCTAGTGGGAGAACGTCAGAAATGCACCGTCAGTTTTTGTTTCTAAAGAACGGTATCTAAAAAAAATATGTAAATCCATAATTTTGATAATTCGATGTATTTCTCAATGTTTGATATTTTCGTCTTATTTTGTTTACCTGTGTATTAAATGTCAATCTAATATTTTTTAAGTATGACTATTTTATTTTGACATATTCATCTGTATTGTGTTTATCCTGATATATTTATTTCACAGCGGATGGATTGGATGTTTTCTCATCCCGTTTTGCATTAATGCATGCAAGGACGTCGTCCATACCTGCCCTAACTGTAAATGCGTTATCGGTAAATATGACAAACTACGCTGACGAATTGACCCGGGCCGGAACCGGAAGTTATATACATATGTTGTGACGTGTTTACTAGGACAGTATTATGGAAAGAAAGTATCATGAACACTGGGATAAAACCTCTGTATCCA